TCCACCTTGTTCAGGATGTCCACCTGAGACACAAAAACTCATCTCAAGGCTCCATCTTGACCTTTGGACCCACCTATCTATCACATCTGGAGTTTCTGCCTGATCACTCTGTAAATATTTGTCTTTTCTTGTAACAATCTGACCTCTGACCAAAACCTGCCATGCTGATGTTCCTTCCCTCCAGTCACTGTAACTCTGCCTGAGTGTCCAGTTGTTCCTCACCTTGTCCTTGAAGTAGGCAAACAGGTAGTTCTTCCATTCCTCTGTGGTGACGCTGCTGTAGGCAAACCGCTGGATGTACGACTTCACAAAGCCCATGAACACCTCTGAGCAAAACAGATCAACAGGTGTGTCAGCAACTGAGCAGGAAAGAGGTGAGTGTGCAGGAGTGTGCAGGTGTTACCTGGCCCTCCCAGCTGCTCCTCCAGGTAATACAGCAGAGCAAAGCCCTTCTCGTACGGCACGGAGGAGAAGGCATCGTCAGGACTGACGTCCTGCAGGCTGGGCACCAGGTTGGTCAGAGGGTTGTTGGCTCCAAAGGTGTTCACCTGAGATATGATGAGCACAGGTGAGTGAAAGGAAAACGTGCCACATCCAAAACCGGACATGAGACACAGGTGAAGGTGTATAATGTTTGAGTTCTCACCGAGTCCTGCAGGTCCTTCCAGCCTCCGATGGCTTTGAACTGCCTGAACTGTTCGCTCTCCAAACACCTGCCGATCATCCTCTCCAGGTAGACCGTGTGACCCTCGTTCAGCCTGATGGCACAAACATGCTGACGTCAAATAATGACGTAATAATAAGAATCTTGTTGGAGCCGACAGTCGATAGTGGAAAATGCAATGTCTGGTTGCCTAGGTAATCCTTTACAGTACTTCCCACCACTTTGTGTGTCAATCAGCTGTAACATTTGTCTGATTTTTTCCTTGTGAAAACCAAAGTAAATCAAAGATTTTCAAAAGGACGGTCTCAGCGAGCTATCGGGTCAGCCGATACGTTGCATCACCTGACCCTCAAACGCTGGTATTTCTTAATGAGTTCTACCTTTGTGAAGTCGCACCCTGGATGATTTTCTTCAGCTAACCTCAGAGTGAATCTTTCCAGATAAACCAACCCCACCATGAGTTGATCCCATTTCAGAGAACCCATAAGTTCCACAAAGTGTCTGTCCCAAAGCTTTGACTTCACTCTGAAAACCTACACAGTGCCTGGACACCTGAGAAAATGTGGGCCTGTTCTGCTGCATCGGGTTTTGTGACTTAGAGCATGTCTCAAAACTGGTTTTAAGATTTTATCTTCTGAGGCATCCATGGGTTCTCTACACGTCTCTGCAAACACCTGAGACCCTTGAGCTGAGCTCCACCCGTTTGTTTGTTTACCAGAAATGCTCCCAGGTCTTGTTGGTCACCAGGTTTCCAGTCCAGCTGTGAGAGATCTCGTGGGCAATCACCTGTAGGACACATGCACAGTCACAGACAGGTATGGAAGGTAATTTAATTATAATGCATAATCACATGGTGAGGTGGGAAGAGTCTTGTACTCACACCAGACAGAGATTTGTCTCCAGCCTGAAAACAGACAGGAAACAGCTGATCAGAACTAACAGTCTCATGACACTGACACATCATGAACAACCTGATTGGCCCCCTGTTTGTACGTACCAGCACGGTGGGCGTGGCAAAAGTCAGACACGGGTTCTCCATGCCGCCATAGGGGAAAGATGGAGGGAGAACCAGGACATCATACTGACCCCAAACATACGGTCCAGCCAGTTCCTCAGCTGTCTTCAGCATGGCTTCGGTCTGAAAGACAAGGAACACCCGAACATCACTCCAGCATCACTCCAACATCACTCCTATGTCCTGCATGTTCTACATTTTTTTGTGTTCTCATGTTGTACATGTTTGTATGTTTTACATGTTCTCATATTTTCATGCTTGTATGTTCTCATGTTATGTGTGTCTTCTTTCCATTGTTTGCGTGGCCTCAGTGTGTCTGTGGTTCTCACCTCGGAGAACTCAAACGCTGCTTTGTCCACAAACTCTTTCTCCGACCAGACTCTGGTCCTTGGCCCAATCTCCCTGCCAACCAATCAGAGCACAGAGTTAAGTTTACCTGCTGAAGCTGATGCTGTGACATCAGAAGAGGTAAGACAATCTGTACCTGCTTTCCAGAGCTCCAGCCACGATGGCTATCAGGTAGGAAGGCATAGGCACCTGAGATCAGAGGTCAAACAGAGGACAGTCACACCTGAGGCCTGGTGATGATGATGTCAGGAGATGAAGAGAAGAAAGAGACTCCCCCTACCGTCTGCCTGAACCTGTAGATGATCCGACCACTATCCTGAGGATCGACTTCCTGTCCATCTCTCACTGCACTCATCACCGCCACCAGGTCCTTAGGGACAGACACCTGAGGGACAGGTACCCACACACATACATACAAGTACACACCTGAGAGACTAATATCAGGCTCTGGGCACTGAGGTGATGCCATGCATGTTGTTCAGGTGTTTTTTTTTTTTTAACAATTATTAATAATTTGAATAATTAATAATCAATAATATGTCAGTGGTGTTTGTTTACCTGAGCATAGTAGGTGTGCTTGATGGATGGGGTGTCCTGACAGGGGATCATGCTCCTGCAGTGATGAGCCTGTAAGACAGCACAGAGGGCACCATGGCTGTTAGATGCACGTTGTGTTCAGGGGTGGTCTGTACAGAGGACGCTCTGCAGCAGACTGAGGCTTTAAACTTTACAAGGCAGTGAAATCAGTTTGAAGAAGGTAGAAAACAAGAATAACAGGGAAGTAGTTTGTTAATGGCTGCAGTTTCACAAAGTTTCAACAGTTCACAGAAAAACCACAAAAAGTGGAACTTTTTTTTTCTGTTGAAGGTTTTCGTATGCAGCGTTTCAGGTTTAATCAACAAAAAAATATGTTTACAGTAAACTTCAATTTAAAACTTTTATTTTAACCTTTTATAACTTAAAAAAGGTTTCAAAAGAGAAAAAAATCTAGAATTTCTCTGAATTCAAATTGAAACATGAAATTTTTAATAATTTATATTGCATATAGCTCAGGTGAGGGTAAATGGCTCACCTGGCACTGGCTGAACAGGTAGGGGTGCTTTTTCCCAGCAGTTTGCTCAGGCGTGAGCCACTGCAGTGCTGTTGCTGATGGAGACGTCTCATAGGTCACCTCCACGATCACATGTTGCCCTCTGATTGGACAGCAGACGTTAGAGTTTAATTAGAAAAGACAGGCCATAAGGACAGAGAGAGAGGAGGGCAGAGTCACCTGGAGAGGTCAAAGGGCAGTGTGATCTCCAATGGGGTCCCCTTGAAGCTGTGTTTGGGCCCCAGGCTGAAGTGCGCCGGTTGCCCATTGGCCGTCACCGACACCACGCTCAGGTCACTGCTGTCCAAAGTCTGTGGTACAGAAAACCCCAGTTACCGAGCTGCTGCGTCAGCACCTGAACCTGCTGATAAATATTCACCTGTGCTACCTGCACAAAGGTCACCTTGCACACTCTGTCTTAAAGCTCAGCCACGTCACACCAGAGTCCATTCAAAGAAAACCTTATTTTACTTGTGTGTCTGTCTGCCTTAAGGACAGGTGAGGGTTAACCTCTTAAGCAACCATGCACCCAAAGATGGGTGCAAAAGGGAGGAGATTGCGGAGGTAGAAAGACAGAAAACCACTGGGGGCTTAATGTTACATTTATCTTTCTAGGGGTGACCGTCTTGCAGCTGCAGAATCAAACCTGAGCTTTGAAAACTGTTAAAAACAAATAAGAGAAAAGACTGCTCTCCTGCACACCTGTTTTATTAAACTTCAGTCTAGGGCTTCAGCTGACTGGTGTCACGCCAAACTCCATCCAGAAAAGAGCCATTTTAAGTTTTTATGCTCTGAATATATTTACAGAACTGATTCAAAATGTGAAATCTGACACTCACAGGTGAGAGTCGATGGTGAAGTAACAAAGCACAAGAATAACCACAGATAGTAGGGGTGCAGGCTTCTGTGGAACTTAAAGAACTTAGCCTGGACACACCTGTTCTATCTGAACGACACTCACCTGTCACAGTTTTTTCAAAACAACAGGTTAAAGTTAACGAGTTTGTTTTAATAAAGCAGTAATTAAACCCGAATAAAGATCAATAATTAAGTAAAAATGTGAGTAAACATGATTTATATCAGTTAGTTTTAAAGATCGTAAATATGTGAAGCTTCAGTTTGTGAAATCACGATTTAAAACTTTAAAACAGTAAGGTTAGTTTATTAAAGCTGAGTGACAAACTGTTTTTTAAAAGTCTGTAAAAACGCCTTAAAACCAGACTCCATTTAAAAACAGCTGGAATTAAGGTACCGGTACTCCCCGGGGATAAAGTTAATCATCAGGCACACCTGAACGTTTGCACGGTGCCGGATCACAGAGGAACACCCGACGAACCGTCAGTGTGACCCAGCTCGTTAACCTCTTCGTGCCCGCCTCTAAGCACGCACTCCCCTTAAACCCAGCGGATTTTAGTTGGACTCTGGTGAGCACTAAAGGTTCCGATAGATCGAGGCTAACCCCACGCGTCCCGTTGACGTTACCAGCGTAGAGAATCGGTCCTCCAGCGCCTCCACAGTCAGCGCCACTCTCCCTCTGATCACGTGCCTGTCGAAGTCCAGGTGCAGGTGCAGGTTCAGGTGCTTGGTGACGCACCTGGTGAACGAGGAGAAGGAGCACGGGTCAGACATGACGTTCAGTCCGGTTACAGCTGAGAGACTGGAGAGCCGAGCTGAGCGCGGCCGGTAATCTACCGGAACACGCTGCGCACGCATCCGGACCGGCCTTTTCACAATAAAAGTCCAAGACCGAGGCGGCGTGCCTTTTTATGTACAGTGTTAAATAATAACAAACTGTGCAGTGTTAAATAAAAAAAAATTTTTCCAGCTTTGTATTGTTTTTCAATGTGAATCATTTAACTTGGATGGGTGACATATACTTCGAAATATGTCAAAGTAAATCGGTATACTTTTCAAAAAATGATTGATACTGATTGATCAACCAGTTGCACCGATTGGTACTTCGGTTACAGAAAGCAGTGATTTGTTCATGATAAGAGATCAAACTTGTGTAGATGTATTTGTTGGGGTAACAGGCAGTAAAAATCAGTAAAAACTAGTTAAATAAATAAATAAAAGCCGGCAGCCTTTGATTTTCTCCAGCAGCGGTGTGTGTGGGTTCATTCTCTCTTGTCCAGCAGGGGGAGCTCTCTCCGGCTTCTGCCCGCTGATGGTGATGGAGGCTCGGATGGTGATGCGCAGAGCTGCTGC